AAAAAAAAAAAAAAAAAAAAATTGGCTCTCATAGCATGAGCCAGTCTGAGCTAACCTAACACACCACTGAAAGGTTTTCAAACTTGAGGTCATAGCTCATTCTTGGGTCTTGCAAAGATTTTAGGTTATAAGCAGCAGTTTTTAAAAATGAAAAAGTAGACTGCTTTATACCTAACAAGAGTGTTCTTCTTCTTTTTTTTTTTTTTTTGAGATATTTTGAGACAGTCTCACTATGTCTCCCTTGGTAGAGTGCTGTGCTGTCACATCTCACAGCAACTTCTGACTCTTGGGCTTAAGTGATTCTCTTGCCTCAGCCTCCCAAGTAGCTGGAACTACAGGCGTCCACTACAACACCTGGCTATTTTTTGTTGCAGTTGTCATTGTTGTTTGGCAGGCCTGGGCTGGGTTCAAACCCGCCAGCTTTGGTGTATGTGGCTGGCGCCCTTGCCACTGAGCTACAGGCGCTGAGCCATCAAGAGTGTTCTTAAATGTGGTTCTTACTGCAGGTCACTTGGGAAAAAGTCTAAGGCTGAGGCAGGTAGATCCCCTGAGGTCAGGAGTTCGAGATCAGCCTGAGCAAGGGTGAGGCCCCATCTCTACCAAAAATAGAAAAAGAAGATACAGCCACACTAGCCTGTGCAATAGTGAGATCTTGTCTCAAAATTTAAAAAAAAAAAAAAGCCTAAAAGCCACCACTATGTATCTGTTTTTAGAATCAAGAAAACCAGAATCTTCCCGTTCCTCCACTGCTTCCCCACTTACAACACTGTCTCTCTGTTCCTCTTCACAGCAAAACATTTTGAAATACATACAGTCACTATTTCCTCTTCTTCACTTCACATTTCGCAACCCACTTCCTAATCAGGGCCACCAGTGACCTCCAGGTTACCGCATCCATCGGTCACTTAGCTCTTCCTTGACCTCTCAGTGCATTTGGCACAAGTGGCTGCTCCTCTTGCCTTGGCGTTTGTGACACTCCCAGCAGGTTTCCACTGCTGCCCCTCTCAGTCTCTTAGTGGTGGATTCTGCTTATTTCCCAAGGGCTCTGTCCTCCATAATCTCCACCTTTCTACTCTGATCGTATCATTTCCCCTCATCTGCCGGCTTCAGCCATGCTGGTAGCCTGTTTCCTGACCACAATGCACTCTACAGAGCCTTAGGGACTTTGCGTTCCCTGTTCTCTTGGCCTGGGATGCTGTTCCCGTGACCAACTTCTTATGGCCACCTCCTTTCCTTCACTCACCAGTAGCTTAAACCTTTCCTCCTCTGCGGGGCTTTCTTTGGCATGCAACTAAAGTAGCCACCTAGGTGCTTCCAATTACATCTTTTCCTCCCCCTTTTTTGGAGACAGTCTTACTCTTTCACGTTAGGTGAGGTGCAGCAGAGTCATCGTTGACTCTCTACAACCTCAGACTCCTTGGCTCAAGTGATATTCCTATCTCAGCCTTTGCAGTGGCTGAGACTACGGGCTTGTGCCACCATGCTTGGCTAATTTTTCTGTTTGCAGAGATGGGGGTCTCATTCTTGCTCAGGCTGGTCTAGAACTTCTTTCTGTGCAATCCTCCTGCCTCGGCCTCCTAAAGTGGTAGGATTACAAATGTGAGCCATTGTACCTGGCCTATATCATGTTTTAATTTTCTCCAAAACACATCACTGTCTTTGTCCCCAATTGGAATGTAAGCACCACTGAAGAACAGTCAAAATTCCCTGCCCTTGTAGGGCTTACAGTCTGACGAGTGAAGTAAAATAAAATAAAAGGGTAAATTATGTAGTTTACCATATTAGAATGTTAGAAATAAAGCCAGGAAGAATGATGTGTTTGTTTCAGGAGAGTATTTGCCATTTTAAATACAGAGGTCAGGAAGGGCCTTGCTGAGAATTGATATTTGAGTAGCCTGGGAAGAAACAAAGTGTAGAGGATCTAAGTGGGAGTGTGACAGGGATGGCATGAGAACAGTGAGGTCAGCGTGGGTGCTGCAGAAAAGTGAGGATGGCTGGTCATGGTGGCTCATGCCTGTGATCCAGCTACTTGGGAGACTGAGGCAGGAGAATTGCTTGAGGCCAAGAGTTCAAGATGAGCTTGGGCAACACAGAAAGGTATTGTCTAAAAAAGGAAGGAGAGAAGGAGGAAAGAAAGAAAAGGAAGGAAGGAAGGAAGGAAATCGAAGAAAAAATTGAGGAGGAAAGGAAGTCACAGTGTGTGACTTGGGGGCAGATGACAAAGTCCAAGATCTTATTCTCAAAAGATGGACCATGGGTGGCACCTGTGGCTCAAAGAGTAGGGTGCCAGCCCCATATACCAAGGGTGGCGGGTTCAAGCCTGGCCCCGGCCAAAACTGAAAAAAAAAAAAAAATCAAAAGATGGACCAAAGTTAGTGAAAGTTGTAGTGGAGGATTGAGATGGTCTGGATTATGTGATAATCCAGGGAAGAGAAGTGGCCAGTGAGGTCCTTTGAATGTTTGTGTTCCTTACCACTGAATGCTTGTTATGAAGGCATTCCATACACGCTAATTCTTAAAGCACACTGGGCTCATTGAACATAAGTGACAAATGGGGGGGGATATTTGAAGGAATAAATTTGTGGGATTTATGGATATTTTAATCCAGAATTACTTTGTTAGCACTGGGTTTCTGGCCTTTTTACTCAGTTCCATTTGCACTTACACCAACATGCCACTAAATACACTCACCAAAGAAACAGTGGTGATGTGTATTTATTTCAGCTTATTTTGATTTTATAAAGAAGTCCCAAATAGACCCAAGCAAAATTGTGGAGACATTCAACTGCCCCTCACGTTATCAATATCCTAAGATTCCAACCTAATATTTTATGCAACGCATTACGCTAGGTATTATTAAGACATTTGGGCTCGGCACCTGTGGCTCAAGTGGCTAAGGAGCCAGCCACATACACCTAAGGTGGTGGGTTAAAATCCAGCCCGGCCCGCCAAAACAACAATGACGCCTGCAACCAAAAAGTAGCTGGGCATTGTGTGGGCGCCTGTGGTCCCAGCTACTTGGGGGGCTGAGGCAGGAGACTCACTTGAGCCCAGGAGTTGGAGGTTGCTGTAAGCTGTGATGCCACAGCACTCTACCCAGGGGGACAGCTTGAGGCTCTGTCTCAAAAAAAACCAAAAAAGACATTTGTACATTCTTTTTCTTACTCACAATCGAGTTGGATAACACACGACACACAGAAAGATAACTATAATACAAATCCAAGACAGTGTATTTGATGGGCTAAATTCAGCTGTTTTTAAGTTGGATCTTGAGTGAATCAAACTTGGAAAATGGCTAAGAGGAAGGAGGAGAGAAAAGCAACAACAGCCAAACAAAACGTACGTTTACAGTTACAAGACTTATAAGAATTCTTCAATTAAAATAAAAAACAATACAAATAAAAGCCAGGGAGGGAAAGCCCACTGGGGTGACGCCAAAACAGGTCTCTCAAAACAAACGTAGATTGTCTCGGTGCCTGTGGCTCAAGCCGCTAAGGCGCCAGCCACATACACCTAAGGTGGCCGGTTCGAATCCCCAGCCCGGGCCCGCCAAATAACAATGACGGCTGCAACCAAAAAAATGGCCAGGCGTTGTGTCGGGCGCCTGTGGTCCCAGCTACTTGGGAGGCGGAGGCAGGAGACTCGCTTGAGCCCAGGAGTTGGAGGTTGCTGTACCCAGGGGGATAGCTTGAGGCTCCGTCTCAAAAAAAAAAAAGTAGATAAAAGTAGAGAAGCTGAGAACTTTGAGGTCTCCTAACACAAAACAAACACTAAGCAGCCGGCTCTTCAAAGTGGCCTCTGTGACTTTATTTAATTTTGGGTTTCTCGCTGATGTGTTTACAGTCAATAGGTCAAACCACCAGTCACTGAGGGCCCCCAAGAAGTTGAACGGAGCATCTAATTACGGAGCATCTAATATGCACAGTATTGTGCTCCATTCTGCTCAAACTTCCCTAGGGAAGTGCCCAATCTGGAGAGAAAACGCTGACACACAAATTACAGTAATTGGCGAGTAATGCATGGTGGCTGCAAGTCCGAGTTCTCACTAACTGGATGAGGGGTTAGGGCTGGGCGCAGTCCAGCTCTAAGGAACCCATTTATCCACCGTGTTTCAACTACGCACGTCCAAGGCGTACGGTGGCAAAACGCAGCGCTGCCAAGTCGGGCCACGTCTCGCGGCTGTCGGGATTCTGATTCCAGGCAGGAGCAAACAGTGCGACCCTCCCTGGCGCGGCCACACTCACCTGAGCGTCCGCAGGGCCAGCGAGTCGAGGCGGGGCCGGGGGTTGTGGACACTGATGCTCAGGGGTCCAGCCCTCAGCGCCCTCCCTCCGAGACCCGGGTCCAACCGCTGCCGGAGGAAGAAGGTTCCGCTTCTTTCCTTCCCATTTCCCTCCCACCCCGCCCCCGCCGTCCGGGCTCGGGCAGCCAGACCCGCCCGGGACAGACTTTGTCCCTTCGCGGTCTCCCCGCAGCCAGGCGGTCGCGCAGTCCGAGTCCCGGAGGCTGTGCAGGAGGCCGAGCTGGGCAGCGATCAGCGGCAGGGCCCTGCCAGGAGTCCCGCAGAGCCCCGAGGACGCCCGGGCTGTAGGAGCGGGGCCGATGGCGGCGCCAGGGCGCGCGATCTGGGAAATGGACGAGGACTGACTCCCGTCACTTCCCGTAGCCGCCTGCGTAGCCGGGGCTGGAGACCCGGACGGCCCTTGGCTGGGGACAGACACCCTCCGGCTGGGAGTGCCTACGACGCCGTGTCTGGGTAAGTCTGGCGACTCCCGGCCTCGGGTGGCGGTCGTCCCCTGGTTACTTTGATGGTGGCGCCGACCTAGCGGGGCATTCGGATGTCGTCGTCCCTAAATCAGAGTGGGATGGGGCGAGGGGCACTGTTCAGTCTGTCGCATCCCGCAGGTCCTCACCGCGACCGAGCCGGGCTGGGTGGCGGGGCCGCTGCCCCTGCTGGCGAGGCGCTCACCGGAGTGAGGGATTGCGGTGGCCTATCTTGGACCCCCTGGTGGGGCACAGGCTGTTGGTACTGGGGGCTCCTCCCCGGACAGCCCCCGCCCGTCTGCCCTCGCCGACTCCCTCCCTGCACACGGCCGAGCACCACCTCCCAGCGGAGGAGCTGGGGAAGTTTTCTTCCTGGTTTTGTTAGTGACCGTTTAGTGGCGGACCCCTATTGCCCTCCTTGACTCGACACAAGGTCTTTAAAATGCCGAGTCATTTGACTGCAGTATTGAACATTGGAAAACGCAAGTCATCCGACTGCCTTTGATGATCGGTAACACAGAAGTGATGGCTTCTTGGGAAGGGTTAGTATTCCTGGCCCGTCCCGATGGATGCGCGAGGATTGCTTGGTCTAACGCAAGCCTGTGGCTTAATTGGGTCACTCTGTGGTCACGATGTAAATTATGAATGTGGAAATTGCGACTCTATCCATTCTTTTTGCTCTTGTTCGTGCTTCCTGAATTTTACGGAGCCAAAGAGTTTCGAGGTTTTGACTAACATGTAAGTTAATGGCACAGATTGGAGTTGTATTTAGGTGGCAAATCAAGAGAAATGCATTATTTTCTTTTTCCTTAAAAAAGAAAAGTAATAGATTTCGTTGGTGCGCATTGCTGTACATACTGCTGGAAGTAAAATGTAGGAAGCTCTAGTTTCGGTTTCGCTGAAAGTCATCAGTCTTTCCTAGAGTCTTCCTCATGTAATGTGGAGAAGCACTTTTTTTTTTTTTAGAGACAGAGTTTCACTTTATCGCCCTCGGTAGAGTGCTGTGGAGTCACAGCTCACAGTAACCTCCTGCCGTTGGGCTTAGGCGATTCTCTTGCTTCAGCCTCCCGAGTAGCTGGGACTACAGGCACCTGCCAAAACGCTCGGCTTTTTTTGGTAGAGACAGGGTTGGGGGTGGGGTGGGGTGTCTCACTCTGGCTCAGGCTGGTCTCGAACCTCTGAGCTCAGGGCAATCCACCCACCTCGGCCTGGTCCTTGGTCTTGGTCTCCGCCTTGCAGAGCGCTAGGATTACAGGCATGAGCCTCCGTGCCTGACCGAGTACTTTCATCTTTAAAAGCAGTGGCTGACACTTTCTAACTCCCCTACCCTGGGCCTTTTTTAAAACAACATAAACTTAATTTTGTTAGTATTAAAGGGACTGGACTTTTTCCCATTTGATTTAATTCAAAGGAGGAAGAACAATCCTGTCCCTTAATAATAGTAATAATAATAGGTAATACATGGCGCTTTCTGTCCTGCTGTTTTAACTTGTTTAATCTTTAGAACAAACCTATGATGTGAATACTATCATTATTCTCATTTTACAGAGAGGAAAAGTTAAATGAATACTTCTGATAATTGTACAGGGCTATTCAGTTAGTGTCTGCCAGTATTTTATTTTAGTATTTGTAATACTAAATTACTTGTTGGAAATTTTGTGCTGATTTATTTTTAGAAAAATATTTTCTGCCTGCATTCATAATCCAAAATTCTTGAGCACGGGTAAGAATGGGAGTTAGGTCTTTTTTATTTTTATTTTTTTTTATTTTTTGAGACAGCCTCAAGCTGCCCCTGGGTAGAGTACTGTGGCATCACAGCTCACAGCAACCTCCAACTCCTGGGCTCAAATGAGTCTCCTGCCTCAGCCTCCCAAGTAGCTGGGACCACAGGCGCTGGCCACAGTGCCCAGCTATTTTTTGGTTGCAGCCATCATTGTTGTTTGGTGGCCTGGGCTGGATTCAGACCCACCACCTTAGGTGTCTGTAGCTGGCACCTTAGCCAGTTGAGCCACAGGCGCCGAGCAGGGAGTTAGGTCTTTGATTTTAATAACATCCTGTTATTTGGTAAATATCAGTAATGTATAATTTAAATTTAAAAATAGTTATGATATAAAGAAAGTGATGCATGCTTATTTTTCTTTCTCTCTAATTTTGTGCCTCAGTTTCAATCTAGGTAATCTTTAAGTGAAACATACTTAAAATCTTAAATCATACACAGAAGAGAGACACCAGTCAACAAAATCAACAACGAGGTGGAGAAGAATGTTGTCCTTAAATAACCTGCAGAATGTCATCTACAACCCGGTAACTGATTTCTGTAAAATCACTTTTTACCTATGGCAGGGTTGAGAACAAATCCAGTTCAATAGTAATTATCCTTTGGGAAATGGGGCAAGAATAAAATCTAGTAAGCACCTACTGTGTGGCAGGGATTGTGGTGGGTATGGACTAAAACGCAGCTGTAGCTCTCGTCCTGTAGTTCTCGTCCTGTAGTGGAGGAAGAGATCACAATGGCAGAATGGAGTGATGAGAGCCATGCTACTGAACAGACAGCATGGGAGTGAAGTGGAGGGAATGGCATTCTTTTGGTAGTGGTGGGCAGGGAGGAGGCTCTCCGATAATCATAAAACATGACTTTTAAGGGGAACTGGATTTCTTACTCTTTCTTTTTCAGTTAGAACTGTCCATGAGAAGTTAATGTCTCAGCTTTTCACCTGCTGGTTAATACTTGAGCAGGGCAGATACCCTAGGCCAGTGGTGAGATGGAGAATGGGAAGAATTAGGGTCCTGTCCAGTCCAGGCTGGTCCTGAATGACTCGTGGTTGCCATGTGTGTCCTGGACAGTAAAGAATTTGTTTTAGTTTTATGTAGTGGTGAGAATCTTTAGGAGTGTTTGGGTACTACTTACCTGAAGCTAAGCCCCCTGAACTTAGGTCTGAGATCGGGCAGCTGAGCTTTTGTTGTTGTTGTTAAATCCCCTTTTGGGCAACAAGGAGAGGAAGGATCCTTGAAGTAAGTCCCTCAGGCAGGCTTATTAGTGTGTGAGGGTTCAAGTTTTTGTTGTTTACTGTAGTTGTAATTCTTTCTTGCTTAAGTTTTAATGCCCTTGTGTAAGAATGAGGTACAACCACTGCCGTGTCAAGCAAACTCAGTTTTAGAAGAAATTGCCTTTCTGTCTTAGTAGGTTTAAAAAGGAAAACTTAATTTGAAACCAGTGAGACATTTAAAATGATTTTGTGCATGTTAGAATTAAAAACATCTCAAGGTTGTAGACTGACTTTTTTTTTTAAATGTGATGCTTATTAAAAATTTATTTTTTTGAGACCGAGTCTCACTATGTCACCCTCTGTAGGTTGCTGTGGCATCACAGCTCACAGCAACGTCAAACTCTTGGGCTTAAGTGATTCTCTTGCCTCAGCCTCCCAAGGAGCTGGGACTACAGGTGCCTGTGAGAACACCTGGCTATTTTTTGTTGTTGTAATTGTCATCATTGTTAGGCAGGCCCCGGCTGGGTTTGAACCCACCACCTCCAGTGCATGTGGCTGGCACCCTAGCTGCTGAGTTATAGGTGCCAAGCCTGTAGACTGACTTTCTGCAAAAAAAAAAAGCGGGCTGCTTGCTAAGGGTGACTGGTGTCATCTTGGCCCCAACTGGAAGGATGGAATGTACGGTCAGCTTATACTCTTCTGCCCTTCACACACAAACATGCCTAATTTAAGTGTCATATAGAAAATAACTTTATAGATTAAAATCCTTACATATCTTGATTCTAGTGTTTGCAAACCTTATTGGATCCATTTGCCCACATGCAATGAAAAGCCAAACACCAAAACACTGTTTTCTCTATGGAGAAAAGTTTATTGCGAGGCTGCTGAGCAAGGGGACCCGAGTCAGGCTTAGCTCTGCTTGAGCTGACGGCTAGGGCAGGTCTTACAGACAGAGAGTAATGAGGTGTGACCTGATTGATTTTGCAGTGAGGCGATGACAGGAGGTGTGATCTCGCGGGATCATACTGTGTCCTGTTCCTTGATCTGAGCACTTGGGCTCTGCCTGTGCCGGCATGCTTGGTTCGTGGGGCGTGCTCAGGCTGTGTAACTTGCAATGTGGGATCCATGGCAACTGAAAAACAGCTTGCCATTTTATTACACAAAGTTTAACCAGGTCAGGATGTTTCTGCAAGTTACACTAGCATACTGATGACTCCTGTAATTTCTGGGGTCAGACCCCCAACTGTGGAGTTGGAACAAAATAAGTAGACTTCATTTCTTGAGGAAAGAGGGTGCAGAGAAGTAGTTCTGCTTGCGGGTGGGAGGTGCCTTTAGACCTCAGGAGTGGCCTGGTTGCTGTTCTGAGGATAGTTCAGGAGAAAATGTTTCCAAGGGAAATAATTTCTTTCTGTAAAATAGCTTTTTTGTTTGCTTTTCATTTCTTTGTTTTATGATCAGTTCTCACCCAACTATAGAAAAAATTAGAGGTAGAAAGACTGAACTGAGTTGCAAAAATGACATTGCTCTCTGTCTTTAAAGTTCACTATTGTTGGGTGGTGCCTGTGGCTCTCAAAGGAGTAGGGCGCCAGCCCCATATGCCAGAGGTAACGGGTTCCAACCCAGCCCTGGCCAAAAACTGCAAAAAAAAACAAAAAAAAAAAGTTCACTGTTGTTAAATTTAGTGCTGGGGGCCCATATTTTTTTTCTTTTCTTTTTTTGAGATAGGGTCTCACTATGTTGCCCTGTGTAGAGTGCTTTGGCATCATAGCTCACAGCAACCTCAAACTCTTGGGCTTAAGTGATTCTTTCGCCTCAGTCTCCGAAACAGCTGGGACTACAGGAGCCTACTGCAATGCCTGGCTATTATTTGCTGCAGTTCTTATGGTCGTGTAGCTGGCCCAGGCCAGGTTCAAACCTGCCACCCTTGGTGTATGTGGCTGGCCCTGTAACCACTGTGCCATGGTCGCTGAGCCCGGGGGTCCATATTTCACTGAAGTTCTCCCGTGTGTAGCTAGTTGCCCTTCCCATGTTCAAAAGACAAAAATAACTTAGCTGTTTTAAGTTAGGATATCTTATAAGCTAGATGTAGAAAAATAGTTTTCTTGCATAATGATCATTTTGTTTGGTTAGTGATCAGTTGAAACAATGAGTGTTTATTGAGTGTCTTTTTTTTTTT